TACGCTGACTCGTGGTGGGGATCAGCTAGAAGTCGTTCAAAAATTCAACTACCTGGTAAGTTGTATCAGCGGCCGTGGGATTGAAGATGAGATCACGAACCGTGTAGCAAAAGCTCGGGGCGCTTTTTCTAATCTTATTCACTTATGACGCCGGCGCGACATCACTCTTGCCCTGAAGGGTAGGGTGTACAATGCAGCGGTACGTCCGACCCTACTGTACGGTTGTGAAACCCGGCCCCTTAAGGCAACGGATCTGAAGAGGCTAGTCACGTTCGACCACCGGTGCCTTCGTAATTTAGCTCACATCTGGTGGGAACACCGCGTGAGCAACGAGCGTGTGCGACGCCTTGTTTACGGCCCATGAAAAGAAAATGAACCGCTCAGCACTGTTATTTCACGCACCAGGCTGCGATGGCTCGGCCATGGTACGCCTGCCAGCCCACCGACTGCCGCGACGTGTGTTGTTTGCGCGCCGGGGATGTGGATGGAAGTAGAGGAGGGGTGACCAAGCGATGACTTGGTCGAGAGGAATGAAGGCCCTCACTTCTGAGCTGACCTCGGTTGGAGCGTCTCGGCTCCCTGTTTGGGGTCCGAAAGACGATGAACACGTTTGGTTGGATACACTTGCTGACATGGCAAGGCGCCGACCTCAGTGGCGTTCGTGCTGTGAGTTTCTTTGTCCCACCCCATCCCTCTTAGCCTCGCCCTCCAACCACCATCTCATTAGTTAGCCTTATATAATTTTGCATAGTAATTTTTTAATACACAGTAGCCGGCTGGTAGCTTACCAGAACAATGCCCATCCGTTACCGGTAGCTCAGCCGGCTTGCACCAGTTGCTTTTTTCTCCTTTTTTTCTATGTATTGCGGCACAGTAGCTGAGGTGTTCCCCACCTCTGGCTAATGTGTATGATGTTGATGATGATGATTGGTCTTGAACACTAGGCCAGAGCTCCACAAGCAACGCTTGACACAGCGGTTAGAAGTTAATTATAAGTTCTTGGAGTAGCCGCAGTGGGTCTGGATTGCGACACGTAATCTCGATTAGGGCGACACTTTGCATCGAAGCAAACCTTATCTATTTCGATCACTAGGACCGCATCCAACGTGGAGAGTTTCTGAACTGTTTTCACCCAACGCTGCGCTCCACGACCGACCGGTTTCGTCCTGATTTGGGCTCGTCAGCTAGAGATGGCCTGAGCTCTGAGTAGAACCCGACACAGTGGTTGACAGCTTGGTCACTAAGCCAGAGTTCCGCGAGCAACGCTTGACACAGCGCAAAGTTGCAGCTAAGGTTAGGATGAGTTATCGGTGTGGCATACGGAAATGCTTTATTGGACACAATCGGTGGTTGAACAATGGCAATATTTTAACAAATACCTTTTAAGGTATTGTTGAGGAAATCCTTTGAAGCTGGTTGGCGTAACGCAAAGCATTCAAGATGTTGCCTACTACCGGACCTTGTATCTGCCATGACACTTGCACCTCTCTCTTTGGGATTTTATTATTCCCACGCTCCTTAGAGATTGATCATACTGACTGATCTTACCCATTCGTCTTGTTAACACGAATTGTAGTCTGTTGTACAGTCCGACATTGTATTCGCTGAGTCACGTCAGCTGGATTAAAGCTGGTCGCTCCGCTCCTAGTCGGATCGGTGCCTTCGATTCATTGCGATCTTTGCACAAAAATGCGCTGTGCGTGCAGTTTCCCTACGTCACCCAAACAACAACAATCATCCTAGAGGAATGTGTGGACTGATAGAATCGCCAGGCGACTTGAAATGTAATGAAAGAGTGCCATTGATTTCGTGATTCCACGTATCCAATAGGAAGCCAACTAACGATCTAGTTGCTTCCCGTTCTCGCACATTCTTGGCTGCCTGTGACCGATCTTAAATGCATCCCGCTAGAACTGTGTAATTATACTCCTTAGTTGAAATTGCTTCCCACAGTTTAACTGGTCGGACTATTGAATCAAAGTCTGTATAAAATTCCCGTTTGCTCCACTCTCTCTGGTCGACAATGGCACGACACAAGTAACATTGTACAGGCCTCATTTGTCTAGATGCGTGGCCGGAGATTATCATCTACTCACAAGAATCCATTAGCGTTACATTTTTCACGTCTACGACTTCCTTTTCTTTCGGAGTCTCCTCTTCCTATACCAAACAGCAATAGACAGTCATTAAGTTCTTTACTCGCTTCTCTTGAAGACTTCCGAATTGAGTGGAACTTCCAGTAACTGCTAGCTTTACAAACCTACGTTTGTATCCCTGTGTCTCGAAATAAGCTTGGAACAGATTTTGAATTCAAAGTTCCAAAATTTGAATGCTAACTGTTTTCATATAAATTTGTATTTTGGCGGCGTTTGGCGTGAGAGCATCTTCAGGCCAGGTGGACGGGCCCATAATGGTAGATTAGAGTACTACTCTGGCAAACCGATACGTTTCAGTCAATAATTACCGTAATCGTTAAAGGGGTCATACAAATAACACAATAAACATGGAAAAATCCTGGGGGATCCGTGCTACAGCAAGTTCACAGGCGTTGTTTTTTCTTGTTGGTGCAGTACTGGGGACCATAGTTAGACGTTCACCGTCCAGCTTGAGTCCGTCCGCTGGTGGTGTTCAGACTGGCTTTGAACAGTCGCTTTAAGCAATACTGAGGTCAATTTATCTTCCTGATTATCTTCACCGCTGGTTTCTCACTCATTGGAATGATTCGTTTAGTCCATCTCAATTAGATTACAAACCAGCTAAACTACCACGCCAGAGCAGCGCCAGACTGCAGTTTCGTCCTCTTGGGACTCGTCAGTGTTGCGCATTTCCTCCGTCGCTCAGCGAACCGTTCTCAAGATCGCTAGTGACTTGCATCATTAGCCAGCAGGTTGTGCCACCAATCCATGGGGGACGTTGGTTGGTCATCATAGATTGAAATCTAACTGTGGTATAGTCTGACCCGTCCACCACTGCTCGTGCAGAAGACATTGCTTGGCTCTCATGTGTGAAGACTTCCCTGATACACACAGCATTTTGAAGGCTGATAGAAGTAATTTCTGACTACTTGCTATTTTTGCCATCCCCCGCATCTCACTGGTCTCAACCACAGACTGGCAACAGTCGAGTTGTAGGTTTGAGCCTCAGAGAAGTCAGGTGGAATGTGTACTTCAGACGATTCCCGGAAGGATGAGACGGATGTACAGTGCTTTTTCGGGCGTGTGATGGCTTTCTGACAGAGTCTAGATGTGATGAATTTCTACCTATCATTGCGATGAATTGCATAACCCTCATGAATAGTCACTGGTATAAGTCTGGGCTGGATATCCCCTTTGGTGAGGCAACTGTAACGCTTTGAAGTGTTTGATGCGCTTTGACCGCCCGTCCACTGACGTGCCATGAAAACATGCGGACCTTCATGAGTTTGGGTAACCACGGTATATTCCCATTTAGTTACCGTAGTTCATAAGTTTTGTCACACACACTGTAGCGTTACGTCCGCATTATTGCATATTCTCACAAATTAGGCGACGGCATTCTGGTTGAGTGCTTTTCCGTGTGTCCCCACTTACTCGAGACGCTTTTACGGCCACTGACTCATCGGCTGGACTGCATTTTGTCAGACTATGCCTTATCTCCCCTCATTTGGCTGAGAACCTGACAGTTTGGATGCATTCGGCATTGTCTCAGCCCCGTAAATGTTTTCTGCAAGGCCTGTCTTCTCACAACCATTGTGCTTCACGTTTCCTACTACCTAGATGATGGCGTACTTTTTTATACCTTGGATGGCAAGTCATCGCAAGGAATGTTCTCATGGTTAGGGTAGTCTGGATCCAGGTGGCAGCGCTGGATGCGATCGAATGCGGAGACGGTGCGATTCATGTGTCAACTGGATCTGCAGTATGTTAGGACGACAATCTGTAACCTTGGGCAAGTTGGGATTTGAACTGGTCGTCCCTTGTCTGAATTGATGATTGATTCTCAATCGGAACCCTAGGTCGCTGGCCCCCCACAGGAGAGGAAGAAGACCGAGTCGGGCGAGCAAACGAACAGGGTTGTATTAGCCAATCATACCGTTCATTCTAAGGGTAAAATCGAAAGTTCGTGAATGGTATTTAAAGCTCACATAGATAACTTCAGAAGGTAAACTTACGGCCAGTCAAGTAATGCCACCCTCGAGTTATTTGGCCGCCTCACCCGGTTGACTATCTGTTCCCCCAATCCCTGCGAGCGAGTTTTTCTCGCCTGCCATGCCTTGGCTCCGTAACGACAATGGTCGTCTCGGTTGTTCTCTCAGCGTTTTACTTCCTAAGAGGCTTGTTGGTTGTCTGGAGCCGTGGGATTCTGTTATATCTTTCAACTCTTGTCACACAAATTGTTACATTACTTGACAATTGATGAGCCAGTTCCTTGCTGTGTTCTAACCTCACTTTATGATTTTTTTATGGAGTGGAATGAACTCCTATTGAATAAGAGAACGGCGTAGAATCAAAATACTGCGTTGTAAATTTATCCTTCTGTCATCCTATCAATTGCATGCCTGAATTTGATTAGGCGCAGTTAGTTGTCTGTTCCGGTGGCTTCTTTTCCGAACACCAAGACTTCACAATCGTTGCTCACGGAACCGAGTGACCTACGCATCAGTTACGAGCTCACGGGGTCTAATTCCCTTTGGACACTGTTAGGAAGGTGCGTTTCCTTGAGCACAGATCAGCAAACACGATCCGCGCCCAAAGTAGTCATCTACCCCTAGGTCAAAGCAACCTGTGAGCAAAAAGTAAATTCAACCTAATGCCCACGCATTTTACATGCCCTATCTAATTTCATTTACGTTGTTCGCTTTAAGCCATCTTTAGCATTCAGTGCCTTTTGTGTTTACAAACCCTCACCCCCTAGTTCGTACAGACCAACTCATGCACTGCGTGATCCTTCAATTCTCTTGTCTGTTATGGTTTCCCGCGAGCTCATATACACGTTCTTCTTTTTCACCACCTTTCATTTAGCATCCTGGGGGCTATGCACACTCGGCCTACGATTACGACGATTCGATGGGACTTGCCAGACCGGTGCCACAGCTCTCGTGCACATCGGACCACCACGACGCCTGGATGACCGGTGGAATGAATCCAGCATTGGCCGGAGGCCATCTAGACGAACCGGATCGCAAACGTAGCAAACTATGATCTCTCCTCGAAGCCACCCGCACCCTCCCCCACCCGTTGTTTTTTCCCCGTGGAAACAAGACCCATTTTGTGTTTATTCCATTCAGTTGTTCCGATAAATACACCGGTTTGGTTCCTCTAACCCATCACCATGTTCCCCATCCAAGAACTGATCTCACGAATACAAAGCCCCAGCATCTCACATGTCCCTTGCTGCTCCAGCGATTTATCAACTAGGATTTCCCCAGCTTTTCCAGTTCTTTTTTCAATACGCCTACTACTTTGCTACAACCATGTTGTCGATGGCTCACTCCCTCCTTTTTCATTGACTTTGTGTCCTTGTGAATGTTCTTTTAGTTTTTCGGACGCCAGACTTTTAGCACTCTCCTCATTGCTTGTTTTTTTTCCATTTCTCATATGACACATTGTAACTGCTCGCTGCAAATAAAACTGCTTTCATACTCCACCTGTGTACACATAAATGAGAATTTTAAGCCCATAGGTTAGCAATTACATGCTCCGAAGGAGAAGCTAGTTACAGGGTAGTGCTGGGTGTAAATAGGATAAGTGGAGATTTACCACATTTAGAACCAAGACAGGCAGCCATCAACCGTCTGGAAGAGCTTGTAGTGCCGTATGTTGATTGGCGATTAACGTGTGGGAATTCGTTGCTCGGATGGTCCACCCTGTTCCTCCACATGGTAGTAGTGCACAAGTCAGTAGAGAGTGAATCCCGCTATATCACATAGTGACTTACTCGTCCCTTGTTGTTTCAACAACTCGTAAGAGCGACCTTTCAGGTCCTGATTCCACAGGGGACCGATGCAGCACATCAGGAACACTAGTTAGTGAACAAGCTGGTTCTCAGTGGTTCATCATCCGAATAATAAATCACGAATGTGTGACAAGTAACGGAAAAGAACAGTTAAGGGTACCGGGCCAATGGTCTGGGTAACCAGGCTAGGTGATTGGTCCCAAAGCGATCAAGGGCGTGTGTACGTGCTGGTGTCTACACCGTGCGTCAATATGAGGACCTGGACACAGAGGTCCAGGTCATGAAGCCGAATGGCGATCAGTTCCGCTGTTGCTGACCCCTCTTATATGGCGTCTGGGTACACGGTGGATTGGCTGAGGAACCTCGTGTGCATTGACCTGATGGAGTCAGCCAAATGAGCGGACACGACACTTGCCACTGTTCTAGTCACTCTGCTATATGGCTATGCTCCCTGGCTCTCTGACATTCTCATGGCAGTTCTTCCAGTATATCCTGATCGACACGAACAAAACAAAGAGTAAACACAGAGGTATGTACTTGACCATGAGATCCTGTCCTTACTTTTCCGACCAAGAATTGGCACTGAATTGGAGCCTGACCTTGCTGCGTAGTAGGCTTGAGGTATGGCCTCAGAAAGCCTTCCAGATGTTGATTCTGCTATCCAATCTCCCATAAACGGTAGTGGTAAATAGACCAGTTTTTCCACTGAAACTTATTCGCTCTTTATTTCTCGTGGCTCCGTGTTTCTCCGAACGAACCTCTCCGGATAGTGCTTTCTCTCAAACAAGCTACATACCAACTTTAACTCGTCCCTGAGTATCCTTGTTACATTTGTTGCTCGCTTGATTCGGTGTCGAACAAGCTTTTATTTCTGGCTATGTATGACGAAGTTGACAAAATGAGGATATTGCCCGTTCCACGTTGCCTTTCTATGGACTCTGCGTTGGACCGATGTGACTCATCTGAACGTCAGTATGATATGTTGTTGCACTCTACGGTGAATTTAATATTGTCGCTGGCCCAGTTAAACTGCATCACTAGTTTTGCCGTGCACATGTGAGTATCTACGATGCAGAATAGATCATCTGCGTAACGCGCGTAGTAGACTGTTAACAGTTGTTTTCTGCTTTACCCATAGACATGCTCGTTGCGGTCCTAGCGGTGAGCCAATAACAACTCCTTCCTTGTGCCCATAGGTTGGTTCATTGAACTGCCGACGTATGTTATTCCTGTACACTAGAAATAGTTATCACATTCTGTCATTCGAACGGACGACATCCAGATAATGTGACCAAAAGTATCCCATACGTATCTTATCGTCTCTTCTAACGGGACATTGGCGAATGATGATACGTCTGGCGAAAACGCCCTTTTTCCACTTAGATCCACGTTTTGTAAGGTGTCTGGGCAGCTGAAGCTAGGCTTGAGGTTATGTCTTGATATTACTTTCCTGGCCTACTCTAGAATCCTAGCCATTTCGCTGTTAATTGATACGGAGTATCATACATGTCCAATATGGCTCTCACTAGAAACCCTTCTTTATGCACTCTTGACAAGCCATGACGTTGTGGAATCACGGTACCTGTGGGGCGCTTATAATCGAACACAGCTGAGTCAGTCATATTTTCCTGTTTCCTGCGGAGTAACAGCTCCATAATTGTCTTTTCGATCGCAACCGTTTTGTCTCTCTGAACATCCACCGAAATTTTCTGTGATCACTGGAGATGACGTTAATCTTATCGACATAATCAGAATTCTCAATTAGAACCTTCTCTGCTGCTTTATCTGGCCTATAAAGCAGCCAATTCTCGTTCCGTTTAAGCGCTTTGATGCTGTCTGCTTGCTCATTTGTCAACAGATACCCGAGTTTAGACTTATGTTTCAGGTACTGATAGGATATATTAACTGGTGGACTTAGTGCTTGGCCGGTAAAACCGACGAACGCTTAAGAATACATACAGACATTTTCTAATTGAGCTTCAAAATTTAGCTGGATTGTATCACTACAGAGATAAGAGAAATTTTAGACCGAGTGTAATTTCTTCATCTAATGTCTCATCCAAATGTTAGCAGGAATTTGTGGACGTACTTCTCCGGGTCGGATGGAAACAAGCTATTTGCCTTGATCGTGATGATCCGCTGCTTCAGTGAGGCTGGTCATTCCTGCACCTAGGGTCCTACGGACATGCGACAGCCATCAGGCTAATATATATATATATATATATATATATATATATATATATATATAATCTATGGTGGACCTCAGCATGTCAGTGGGGCAGGTAATGAGTTGATTTGCGATGTTCAGACTGGGCGTTCCTCACCTTGTCTTCACCCGCGCTCAAATGAGGTGTAAAGCTTGGTGGCGTACCGATTTGGTCGTTTTGGAGAAACACGCATAATGAGACTTGTTATACAGCAAGATACATTTTTCTCCTTAGTATACACCAAGGACAAAAGAAAGCCACGAAGGTAGAAGGGGACCGGATCAGAAGACATTAGACGAAACATCTGTCCAATAATTGCCCTTCATCCTGCAACCCGTGCTGAGGGCCCACTTGCACTGTTGCACAACATCCCTTCTTCGGCAATAAAAATACACCCTCAGTGAGTGGCTTCCACACATCGTTCCGTACTATGTTTGATTGGCGGCATCCGGTTTCGGATTTGCCTGTCACTGTGGCCAGCCACAGGACGCCTGCACCTACAGAGGGACTACAGGTGACATGCGTCGCAACACCAACAGCTCCAACCACACGCAACATATCCAGTGTAAACCCGAAGGAATAAGACCGGGAGGCATGCGGATGGGAGCCACGTTTCATCAACGGAGCCGGCCCACACTCCTTCACAGGCAAACACAAGCACGCTGTATTTGGGGAATCAACCGCACACAAGGCGGTGGCTGGACCGTAGTCCGCTCCACACTGAGTGCATGGAACCACTCTTCGAGCCTAGCACGGCCACAAGGACCATGCACCCCATCCCCTCCAGCAACGACCAACTGTCTCCTGAAGCCTGTATGGACGAGGTAGTGGGTAATAGACAGGTAGGCACCTTGTCAACATGCGCATCAAGCGCAGCCACACCGTGGATGTCAAACAGCATCCGATCATTTGAAATGACATTATCGAATAAAATATATCTGTTACAGAATACGGTTATGCAGACATAACTCCGATAAATTATCATATGAATTTGGGTAGTTAACAACGAATCCGCGTTAGGTACAAAATGTCCACAAGTTACCCCAAAAATACTACAAACACAATAAAGTTAACGAAGACAACCACAATTAGCGTAATCAACGTGTCCAGTTAATAGAATGTTATTCAGGTAGACAGAACAAAACAACTAAAGGAGAATGCAATTTATTCGGCTTAAAAAGACCTAGTTTAAGTGTAAGTTGGTTAAGCCTAACTGCGGTGAAGAAGCATCATGAATACAACATCAGCCTCAGCATGGGGCACCGTACTAGGTATGCAAGCTAGAGTATCTACTGACACGCGCGAAGAACTTCTCCTACAAACATAACATTTTAAGACACCGCAAACGGACTGGTCAGAAGTGTCGTAGACCCGGTGCGGATTTGCTGAACTGCGCGACATTCCGAGATTACCAAATGCAGGACCAGAATGTCCTCACTTACTTCGTTATCATCGACTATGGTTTTTCGATTGAAATCATTGGCACACTGTGTCGTACTTGGTAGTGTTTTCGTTCCGCGCGAAGTTCGACCGTTTCTCCGAAGCGATTGTCAGTTCAGGCACAACTAAACGTTAACTCTTAAGCACAACCGACTTCGGTTTGCGGAGCGTCAAACTCGCGAAGTTCGCACGCTTGCCAAAGTTGATCGAGCCGATCCTGTACATGCACGCCACAATCCCACTTATACATAGAAGCTCGGAGACCACATGCTGAAAGCCGCCTCACAGGAGCTCGATCTCGGGGTGGTGGTGCATGACGATCTCGGCTATTCGGCGCGATCTTTGAAGGCGTCCAAATCCGCTAACCAACTCATTGGTCTCTTACGGAGGACATTCGGGCGGTTCGACCCCTACATTTTCCCCCAAATGCTCAATGCGTATGTGAGGCCCCATGTGGAGCACGCGGTTCACGCCTGGCAAACCTGATTAAACCGCAATCTGGTTGCACTGAATACCGCACAGCGAAAGGCAACCACAAATGTGAAGGGAATGTTCCAGCCGATACACCATCTGCGACTGAAAGCTTTAAGAGTGAACAG